ACGGACTCTGGGTTAACAGTAGACGGCGGACTGACGTCGATTAAACACTTAATTCTGCCCCTAAACAACTAGAACCACTTGGAAACTCGGGTCTTGGCAAGATAGACAGTCAGCCCGTAATTACTTCATAATAGGACTCTTACGGCATTATAAAAGACGGCTTCCCTGAAGGAAACATGAAAAATGAGGCTTCGGGCTGAATGTTTTCGTGGCACGCGCGGACAATTTGTTTAGCTTTCTCAGTCACTGCGTCCATATCTAGTTACGGCTATCTTGACCATGGATTAATACCAGAAGACAATGAGCGAGAGAATAGAGTGAGATAGGTATGCTAAACGTCCAATCATGCCATAAGCATTTATCATTTATCGTCATTATCGTTTGACGAATGTACGCAGTTTGACACAGAGGCCATTCTTATGGTTGATATTAAATGAAAATATCTAGGGAAGTACTGACAAAGAACACAGAATGTAAACATATACGAAGTACAAAAAACGAAATGGTCGCACGTAAGAATACTTCGGTGCATTGGAAGTCGGAAATTGCATTAAACACTGGAATCTTGCTTGTTAACTTACCCATTCGGGAGTCCCACGGTGTGTCGTGGTACCTTGATAAAATCGCCGGTGGTAGCCTTCAATGTACCCGACCCAACTGCGTGAATAGGTTATATTTGGTTTCCAGATCAGTGACCCGTAGCCAAAAATGTACAGTTTGCCGGTTCGGGGGTTAACCATTTGGGATCTCAAAAAACTGACTTTTCGGGTGTGCGGAAGCTCGCTGGGAACGCTTTCCATGACGGAAGGAACAGAAGTCTGGACAAATTTCAGAAAAATTAGGCGTGCAAATGCGTGTCTTAAGTAGACGCTCGACGGAGTGTTTTCATTGGCCCTGCCGTCTGACCAATCAATTTGATTCTACCAGCTGATGACGAAATCCACGTGAACATACGGTAGGCTTGCTGTTGAATTTTTTGGTCGGGACGAACGTCATGGACAGGCTTAACAGATTTGCGATTTAATGGGTATTCACCGATATTCAACAGTCAGGTTGCTCGCTCACCGAATGATTATGGAAACACAGGGCAAAACGACAGTAGAGTGTGAAATTGCGTTGTCACAGTTCTCATGCATATATACGTTGAAGGCAAATGATCGTTTCAAACGCGAGAAATACGGAAGTAAACATTACTGATAGCCCTTTCAGTACCGTTTATTCGCGTGAAACGGTCCCACGGAATAAGGACGGGACCGAATCTGAATATTAATAATGGTTCTATCAACGCACATTTGCGGAAATAACATTAGTCCTCTTAGGAATGGCAATGATCAGCCCAAAAAGGAGGATGTCAGGGACGCATCAGATAATAAGAAAGCTTTCGTGGATTTAAAATAAAAACTATACGAATTTGTCGTTTAGTGCCACAGTTTAATGCGCGTCGAAATGAATAGTTCATGACAAACCGAAACGAGCACCGGATTGGTATAAGGATACTTGCGAGATTTCATCCAAGTGGACAGTCTTTTTGGGAGGAGCCGCCCATATCGACTCGCGCACACACCTCTCTGACAATTCGGTCCCACGCGGCATTATCGATCTGCCTATAGGCCACGCGCGTGGTGATATCGCGCAAGCTGCCAACAGGATTAGCGCTCTTCCCAGTCCAAATGCTAACCTCTCAAGGACACTATCGGATTGGTCCGACCTTGTACAAATTCATATGTTCCTTGTGGTTCTTAAATATGCTGTAATAATAAATGAATTAACTTTTATTGATCCGCACTTACGGTTAAGTTCGCCTTTGCGAATTCTATGAAGTATTTATAGGACGGGCGACCAAAGGCTTATGGTAATTTTATAACAATTCTGCCGTGTGAAAATAACCAACACCCATGCACAGAAGAAGACACTATCGTAAAAAAAATGTAACAGTAGGTAACTTAAATTCTTCGTTTTACCCTCATCTTCTCGATCACTAATTTTCTCAAGTTCCGATTCCGGATGGAATTTAAGTGCAGACCAGCTTTGACAGATTTGCTGCTCGGAGGTCAGTTGTGCTACCTCCAAGCCAATTCTATGGGACGAGGGATAGTGGAGAAGAATACACTTTTTCTTCGAAATATACGAAAATTGGCATTGAAAAAAAACGGTAAGAACCCGGAAAAGAAACCCATTTTGTCGCAATGCAGGAGGCTTTGTGCTAATGATGCCTGCCCCGCCGTTCTCAACTTAGCCCTGACTCGCAACCCGACCCTAAGCCTAACCCCAGTCTTCCTGCAATTCAGCACAAGCCTACACGTATTGCGAAGGCAAATTTGACAATAAAGGTCTAGTAACACAAGTGAAAAACTTGAAATTTGATACCTTCGAAGTAAGAACTTAGCGCAATAACTTAATTCCCATCAAGAATGTGCAGCATAATTAGTAAATAGTGTGCTGATAGAAGTGAACAGGCGAGTTCAAAAGAAGAAGATGCGATCGCTAGAACAAAAAGTTCATTGGCTTGACGATTTGAATCTTTGCTCGGACCCAGTATTAGAGACAATCACGGAAAAAAGGGCGCGTTGTATTTATAATCCATGGTAGCCACGGGGCCATATGCGTACTATAATTAGCAGCTCTTGTGATCAACACTGGGAGGTTGGGATTGACGC